ATTATTTAATGTGATTTATTTGTAGTTTTAGTTTCTAGATGCAAAATGCTGCTTTTGAGTGATGCCTCAACTAGACTGAGGCATCTTTGTGAGTTCTAGCTTGCCAGTGTAGGCATATATATGTCACCGTTCAAAGATTATCCGTAGAAGGTTTTTATTTACCTTGAAAAGTTATGCCAAGCTGTACTTAATTTAGCCTTACCTAGGTTTGCTGGAATGCCAAAAATTCTTGAGCCTATTCTATTAATGCTGGTGATGCAGTGTTTTATCTAGCATTGTGTATTCAGTCCTGCACTCACTTCACTTGATTCAGAGCTGTTTCCTTTTTTATGTCCTGATCTCAGTTTAAGGATTGTTACTGTTTTCAGCTGTTGCCTCTAAAAGGTTTGTGTTTTGTCTCCCTTTGCTTCCCCCATCTCTTTTTTTCTTCCTTTTTCTTTGTTTTTGGTTTTGTTTCCATATTTTATTTTTTTTTCCAAGAAAGGGCAGTATAATTTGAGCATGTGTTTATTCACAGTGAATGCTTGCACGAATTCTTAACTAAAGCTTTTAGATGCTGTCACAATATTGAGAGCTTGTCACTGTATCATTGTACAACAGTCCATATCCTCTCTTTTCTTCTCCTTTGCACTGCCAATATTCATTTTCTGTTTCTGTATAAGACCTTCTGTGTGGTTCATTACTATTCAGCATGTGTAAGGGGTTTACTGAGCTTAAAGTTAATCAAATTAAAATTAGGGAAAGCAGAGGCAGATATTGCTGAGGAAAGGTGAGATTGTTAAGCAAAATAATAAAGATAATAAGTATTCTTAATTGACACAAGATCCACAAAATCTTCAAAAATTCCTTTGGGAGAATATTTAAGTTGTCCTCAACTATATAGTTGCCAAAAATGTCCCTAACTCCAACTTGTCATGCTTTCTGCTATTCAAACTTGATAAAATAATGGACCTTGAGACGTTCCAGTGAAAGAAAAGACACAAAGGATCAAACTGATATAATACTTTCTAGGGTTCACCTAAGAACAGTTTGATATTTGGAAAAAGAACAGATGTGCAAACAACAAGCAAACTGGTAAGCCCATCAGTGAAAAGACTATGAAAGAGTATGTTTTCAAACTTCACCTTACTTGTGACTTTGAGTGGAATAAAATTGTTGTTTCAGACTTTTTTTTTTTTTTTTTTTAAAGAAGACATAAACATCTACATGCTTTTATCACTTCCTATGCCTTCCTTGACAGCACTATAATTCCCTTTTAGGAAGGCAATGCTGAGGTTTTCACAGACTCGTGTGGTGAACTTCTAGCTTATGATTTCAAATAAGAGTATTTCTTTTTCTTCTTCTTCTTTTCTTCTTTCTTCTTTTTTTTTTTTTTTCCTTAACAAAAAGCAAACATGAAACAACAATAACAACAACAACAAAAAACCCACACTCAATTAGATGATGTTATTCATGTTGTTTAAACTTATATTTTCCAAGAGGAATTATGATGCAAATTAGGTTGTTTTTGAGTTTTCGCCTTGCAGGAGTTTTCACCTTGCAGGATTTTCTTTGATATTTCTTTGAATTCATGTTATTTGTTTGCAATTCCCTAAGCTAAATGCAGAGTTAACAACTATACTTCTATATTAATAATTTCCATTTAAGAGGGGTAATAATATTTTGTTAATTAGCTCGATATCCTACAATCAATATCCAGTACTGGACTTTACCAAGATCTTACAAGTAACAGTACAGTGCAAAAAGCAAAACAAAACAAAACAAAAACAAACAAACAAAAAAAACATTTCTCTTCCCCTGTAAGAGAAAGAAGAGTTCCCTGAAGCTGATCAATAATGATAAATGATGTTTTTGATAGCTTGGAGTTAATGTATGCAAATATTTTCAAAATCTAGCTGAACTCTTGTATGTAGTTATGTATTTAAAAAAAAAAACAAAACAAAACAACAACTGCATTTTTCTGTCTGTTTCAGTTTTGTGAATGCTTAAATAGATTGTGGAGACAGTAGGGGCATTATGTTGTTGGCTCTGGGTGTTTTGCTCAAAAGGCATGCTACTCTTGCTCTTGCTTCACCGCTTGGTGATAGAATGGCTCTGGTTGGAAGGGACCCTAAAGATCATCCAGTCCCACTCCCCCATAGGCAGGGACGCCACCCACTGGATCAGGTTGGTCAGGGCCTCATCTAATCTGGTCTTGAACACCAGGGACAGGGCATCCACAACCTTTCTGGGCAGCCAGATGTAGTCATAGCACATATTTGCACAAGAAAAATTTGTCACATACCACTGGGATTTTTTTTTTTTGCATGCAAAGACTTTGGAAACTGTGCAAAGGCAGCAGTAATCCTTAGTCACAGCTGATCAGAGAGAGAATTGGGGTCAGACTATTCCTGCACTGGGTGCCAGAGTAACAACTTCAAGAAGTTGTTTGTGACAACTTCTTTGATTGCCTCTGGAAAGGAGTGGACTTCGTTAATATTTCTGCATACCATGGTGCTTGCCTTTGGAAGAATAGTTTTGGTGTAATGCAAAGTCAGTGTTGATTACCACACCCTGCACCTGAAATTACTGGGAGTTGCATGTACATATTATATTGAAGGGTTTTTTGACTTTTTTTTTGTCTGTGTGTTTTTAGTGCTTTAATAGATATATTTTTTAACCTATTACTCTTATTGCTAATGGAGCAACATTTAAAGACAGATATTGAAGTTCTTATGGCAATAAATTTAGGGATTAAATAATGTGTTTGAGTAACAGAACTGTCTTATACATACTGCTCACAGAAAAAAAATATTATATTCTTTGGCAATTCTTTGGTTTTTCGTATGAATGATGCAATTTAATATTGGTCATTAGTTTCACACACACACACACACACACATATATATATATATATTATATACAATTTCATGAATAGTCACTTTTATTGTTATGGAATTTCCATAAAACGATCAAGGGATTTCCTTAAACGAAGCTTTTCTATATGTTTTCTAAAAACTGTTTCTGGAAAAGCATTTGTACTTTTCCTCATTCTGGTCTTCATTGCCTTTGAATTTCCCTTTGTATCCAAAGGGACTTTGTGGTTGAATCTTGTTATGAAAGGATGCAAAATTTCTCTTAAAGGCTTTGGAGTGTGTAATTTTTGTAAATAAGTTTAGTTAACATGAATTCTATGTAATTTAATATGATTTTGCTTGACAAGTAGTTTTTAAAAACTGTTTCGTATTCAAAAATAATTTGAGGTGAAAAAATCCATAATTCATATTGGAGGATATGGAGAATCTATTCTAGTTTAGTTTAGTTGCATGGAGTCGGATTTCTGCCCCTTTCAGCAGAGGTCAGTTAAATCAACTGAGAGGAGACAGTTATGGGAATTCAGAGATGGAAAAGCCAGGGAAGATGTTTTTATTCTCATTTTTACTTGTGTTAAAATACACTGTTACAAAACGATAAAAATCTTTTTCTTTTCTGAACTCCAGTATGTTTTCCCTAGACTATAGAATTATAGATACTTTCCTAGTAATTTAGAAAGGAAATAAATACATCTGAAGTGGAAGTGCAGTCATACAACCTCTGAATTGCTAAGTGAAGAGCCAGCAATTTCTGTCAACAAAATCGTTCTTGACTTCTAAGTAGTTAAGTAGCAGTGTTGTCAGCCTAAAGGAGTAAAGCATATGGGGCAGCTGCTAAAAAGAGTACTGCTGTTTCACAGATCAAAAAAACTTAAAACACCAATGAATTCTAGTTTGCTTTCTTGTATTTCTCACTTCAGCAGGGTCCGATAGCCCAGCCCACCTTGCTACAGGGTGGCTGCAAAAGCGTCCTGGTCAGCCTAGTGGTCAAAAGGACTCTGACTTCAGGAACCTCTCTGGAGTGAGTCTACTGAAACTGTAGGGCAGTCTCCCTTCCTTGCAAATGATTTTCTCCAGATGTTCTCTTCCGTGAGTGTGGCTGAGAGTCAGCCAGTTCTTTGAAGTCATCTTATCTCTGTGTGAGATTTGATGACAGCATCACCCTTCTCAAATATGAGACCAAGTCTCTTGTTGCTGGTTTTCATCAAATTTTGATGGTGGGAATATGAAATTTGTATTTCTCTCTGGGAACTTGGGGCTCTGTGTACCTGTGCATCATTTTGTTTGAGCGCAGTCAAAGTTACAAAAAAAAAAAAAAAAAAAAAAAGACTGTGGTATATGATAGCTATTCCTCAGAAGCACAGTAATAGACATTGTTTATCAAAAGGCGTAACTTAAGCCCTCAGAGTATTTCACATCTGACAACTGAAATGTGGTTGCTGTTCAGGTATGCATTCCTGTCCTACTCTGTGTTTAGTTAACGCATGTCATGATGGTAGTCAAGTTAAAGCAGGTTGGGGCTTCAGTGTATTTTGGTAACCTAAATACATAGCCCAGTCCTTGCACAGTGAACCTGAAATCAGTGATACTGCCTTCAAAACTTACATTTTCTGCACGGGTCAGGTCAGTCCCAGTCAGTATATATGTGTGCCTGTGCTGCCATCACACTTTAATCTGTGGTATAAAACTATGGCAGTGTATTTTTTTTTTTTTTTATTGATACACAAATCTGTAAGTCGTCTTTTCAGATAGACTTACAAAGCAGATGGTGCTGATTGCTTCCTATAGCCCCATGTCTTACCTAGCTTTATATGCTTCAGAACAAGCAAGTTCAATGAAGCATTGAAATAAATAGCTGGACAGAAGGACTGGAAATAAGTGCAAAGAATATGAAGTTGTAGTTGGTTATACCAAATTATTGTTCTTCTGTTATAGTTGGAGAGGGGGGTCCCAACCAACCAGAAAGGTTATTTTGAAATGATTTCATATTTTGAGCAGAATTGCAGGTATTTCCAAAAAGACATTTTGGGACTATTGAAAGGTATATTTTCCTCGAGCATATGAGAAAGATGAACAAAAGAAGCTTTAAATCATCAGTTTATTATGGTTCTATTCTAAGGTAATGGTGTTGTCTTTTGTGTTCCACAGTGTTTCCTTGATATGACATTTGGAGCCGGAGGTCATACAACAGCTCTTCTTGAGAAAGCCAGCGACATTACCGTGTATGCACTAGACAGGGATCCCACAGCTTATAAAATAGCTCAGCAGCTTTCAGAATCTTACCCGTAAGTTGTCTTTCCTGCCTTAAATATGGTTGAGATAAGCTTGACACTTACCGTGTTGTCATATTATATATACAATGTAATATTCTTATAGTTTTAATAGATAGTTTGTAACCCCTTATTGTAGCATAACATTATGTCTGTGTATACCTCATTAAAGAGGTGATCCAGTTGAATTTATTTATAATGTTTATATACAAGTCTTTGTGAGTTTTTTGGAGTTAAATGCATATTTTGTACTCTGTTAATTTTAAGTGTGGTTCTAGTAGCTCATTTTAAATATAAAATTTATATTTTAAAAGGAATTCATATGCTCTGCTTCCTTTGAGATTATTCTGATGGCAAAATTGTGCAAAAACATATTTCATGATTTTGCTAATAAATATTACACAACAGAGGAGGGAATAATATACTTTAAAATTAATTACTGTTGTAATTTCTATATAGATCACTATGAATAGTATTTTTTTTAAAAGACATTTCAGTTTTAGGCCTGCTGAATATTGTGTCAATTGTACTACTGACTTCAAAGCTACTAACCAATTTAATATGCTACTGTTTCTGTATAAAGACTTTAGTTCATGCTTCAATTTTCTTGTTAAATAGTGCTTAATTTGCTAAAGGAACATTGACTAAATTCCGATTTTCAGTTCTAGTTATACAAAGGTCTTGTTTCGTTATTTTGTTCAAGAAACAACCCAGTCAGAGCATGCGTGCACTTATGCACAAGTATGCTACATGTAGAGATGAATATACTTTTCAGGAAGTTCTGTTGTTTAAATTTCACCAAGAAGTAGAAATATGTAGATACTACATAATATAGAATAATTAATACTTCAGTTTAGGGAGAGTAGTAACGGGACTATTTATATCAAAAGAGATTTTTCATAAGGAGAGGGAAATCTTTCCAACAATATGAAAAGTGAAAGACATGGATAAAGAAACACATGGTTAGTCATGTTTCCTGGCATGAAAAGGAGTTCAAAGGCAACAATACTATGTAAGCAATATAGAAGGTATTTTTTACTTTCTCTTAAGAATGGTTTAACTGTGCATTCCTTTCTTCATGTGCCATTGTCAGATGCCCAGTGGGAGAAGTTGAAGCATGTGACAAGAAAGCATAGATAGTTTTATCTGACTTTGTAAGACCACTTATATATATTTCTCCAAATTTGCAATTCTTTGTGGGCTGAAGTGACATATAGCTTTTACTTATATATTTGTGGGATTACTCTTCCAATTGTAATTTCTCCATTACAGGAGAATGCTGTTTTTGACAGATTTGTGTGGAGATAATAGGCAAGGAAAAGTCCTTTTTTTTTTTTTTTTTTTTTTTTAAACAAACAAACAAAAAAAACAGCAAATAGATTCCACTGGATGCTATTGAAATTGTAACATCTTCTCTAATAAGCCTCCTTTTTCATTTTGTCACAGAAAAATAAAAGTAAGAATCCAGATTAAAGCTAATACTGTATGTAAAAATTTTCAGAAACATCCACACAACATAATACAATATTGAACAGTCCCCTGTCTCTAAATATATGTATTTTTAAAGTGTCCTATGTGAACCTGATGTGAAGGAAGTGTATTTTCCAGATAGATGAAGAGATTTTTCACATGTTGGATGTTTTTCTGCCAATATCTGGCATCATTAATTCTCTACCTGCAAAATGAACATTACTTGATATATTATTACATTTGATATAACTTACTATGGTATAAACAAAGTAGTACTTCAATTTCCTGCTTTTATTTGTACGCTCATGTTAAACATAGTCATATAAATGTTATTTACTTTTAGAGATGCAAGTTATCCTTAAAAGGCAGTGGATTCTTAAATGAGTGTTAAATTGTTGATAGAAAAAAAATAATTAATGACTGAAAGATGAATCCATGCTACTTGAATGTGTCTTGTAAGATACAGAGCTGTATTCTTGTTTTCCATCATCTTACATCTTTCCCATTGGAAAGAACAGGTGGGTTGATTTTCAAAAGGTGGATATATCTTTCTTACGATAGCTAATGTTGAAAGTTAAATTAGCCATCTTAAGATAAAAGAATGTTCCTATCTGAAATATGTTCTAATTATTAATTTGCTTTCCCTGAGATGTCAGTTACATAAAAAATTAAAAGAGGGCAGGAGCGGGAATGAGTATACTAGTGACAAATAAGAGTTTTAAGTTAGGGTCTGCTAACAAATCAATTGTAATTGTATTACAAGATTCAGAGCTTTCATTTTTTGGTATTCATTAAATGATGGTTAATCTTTTTTTTTTTTTTTTTTTCTTTTTTTTGTGTATTTTCTGCACTATTTTAGAAATTGATAAAATTCTGATAAGAGGATTAATTCAAGTCTGTGTTGGCACCAAAGGTCAGGGAATTCATCCAAATGAAATCTTTATCTGGTCAGGTTTACTGTCAGTTGAGTTCTCTCATTTGGTTTACCAGGCAGACACAAAAATAGTTTTGCTATCATGAAGATGGTAATGGCTGCATGCAGCTGCAAGCTGAGAGAAAAGTAGGGCTGTCCCTTTTGTAAGAAGTACAGCCAAAGATATAACTGACTGAAGACCTGCAGCACAGAAGTATGAGCTTCTCCATTGTCTTATCTACGGTTGTTTTTAGTTTCTGTTTAACAGTTCTGTTTTGGGAGAGGTTATTTGACTTAGTCAAGTGCTTTACTTCCTTTGGAGCTGACAGCACAAGAGGGAAAAAAAAAAAAAGGCTGTTATGCAACTGTAACCAGTAAAATCAGATCTCCAGTATGTCTGAAATTGTGAGTGCAGTGGGCAATTTGAGTTGTGCATCAATTGAATTTTCTGCTGTCATTTTGTTACTACTTCAAATACAGTATCATATTTGTTTGATCTTTTGAGGATGTTAATAAATTCCAACATATCAACTGCATGATCTATCTTTGGTCTTGTAGCATTTACTATAGTCCATCCTACTTAAAGAAAAATAAAAACCTTTAATTATAAATATACAGAAATAATTGCTCTTGCTTACTCTGGTTAGGCAATATCGTGGATCTTAGTAAAATTATATAGTTTCAAGTGTTACTCTCTTTGGGGCTTAATTTTTAAAAAATATCCTATGTCTTATGTCACTGAGTTACAAGATTATTAAAGCTCAAGTTGCAAGAAATATGCCCAGAGAAATGGCTGGAAAACATAATGATAGCTAAATTAGGAGATTTTTCTATGTTTGTAACTAATAAATGAAGTCCCCCTTGTACTTTGCTGAAAGCCAGTTGGAGTAATAAGTCACTGAATGAGAACACTGGCAAAATATATTTGATGTTTGTATTTTAAATGTCTCTTTGCTTCTTGGTAGTGATTTTGTCAGAACTAAAATCCAAAGAGGATAGTGTTCCCACTGCAATTCTGGCATTCATTTAGCTTCCCTGTTTATTATTTTTATTTTTTAAAGCATGTAGTGCTGCTTTAATAAGGAGAAAATAGGTCAGGGCCTGTTAGATATTCAGTGTGTGGGTGGGAATCCTTTGACGTGCTTTCTGGGGAAGCCTCTAACTTGGGAATTGCTGCTGAGAATCCAGAGAACAAGATAAAATTCAGTCGGTAGCAATATATATTACAAGTAAACCCTTTCACACCCACTGAAAGGGAGAGGTTAGAAAGGTGGCTGAAATCTAGCAATTAACCAATATCATTGCAAGCTTTTAGGTATGAGAAACCTACGCAAAGCCTACACAGAAGAGACGATATGCTCTTTGTAATTCTCTGCACAGAATAAGCAATCGTGTCCCATAAGTAGGGATAAATCGTAAAATAAAATAAAAAAAATCTTATATAATTAAACTGTAATATATTTTACTGTAGTTCTAAAGTAATTTTGAATTGGTGCTTGTGGATTTTGCTTTCAGGGTTACACTAAGTTTACAGATAAAGTGGGATAGCATCATCAACTGTATTTTTGTTCTGGGAAAAATAGAATTGATTTCATTAAGTTCTAGGGAAAATAAAACTTTCTTTAGTTGCAATAAACTTATTTAAGTGCTTCTGAATTGTAACTGAGGCTATAATACATTGTTTTTACAGTTATGTATTATTTTTATAGGTTACGATTTAACTTTGACTGTGGTGCATCAGGGGAATACAATTAAGTGTGCAATCAAGGCATATTCATTATAACTATGCCTTAACTGTATATAAGCAAGAAAATGCTATCTATAGCTGTAATTTTTTCTAAAGATTTCTCTATGTATGTCAACATGTGGCTGCCTCTCAAACGCAGGCAATGGAGATAAATGAGTTGTCTGAAGTAGGAGATGGAGAAATGTCGTTGAGAGAGCTAAAAAGACCTTTAGATCCCATTGCATTCGAATAGTGCATTTTTGTCATATAGCTTCTTCCCTAAAAGGTTGGTTAGAATAACACATACATTTTCTTGCAAAAGCACAAGGAATAAAAATTCCTTTTCTTGTTGCTGAAGCTCAAGCTGCCCAGGTTTCAGAACGACCTTTGCTTTCATACCAGTGTTCTGATCCTTCAATACATTGAGTTCTTGGTTTAAGTTTGGGCCCAATTCAAAGTTACCCTGACATATAAAATCACTTGCAGCAGTCTCCTTTTAACAGTTCCTTCCCCTCCCCTCCTCCCCTTTTCATTCTTTGCAGTCTTTTAAAACTTGGCTTTTTAGGGCTTTCTTGTCAGGTTGAGTGTCAATCTCTTCTCATGTAGCATAATTACAGATACTTTACTACCAATATCACATCACTGCAGGTAAATCTTTTTTGTGTGCACTTCTTAATTTTTCTTGCCTTGCAGACATGATGGTGCTTCAAATCATTGTATGGTCTGCAAGATCTTTACCAGGTTCAGACTGTGGTCTGATCATTCGGATAGTTCATAAAGTCTTTGTTATGTAAGGGTAAGTACTGCTGTCACAGATAAACTCCTTCTCAGTGGTCCCAGCAGAAAAGTAATGCTATGCATCTCAAACCCTGTATCCAGAACGGGCCAATGGCACTGGGTTGTACT